GAGTATATGTAGCAATAAAAAGTTAAACAGTTTCCCTTTAAGAGCAGTTGCTGCATTCCTGGACAGCAATAGCCACTATCTGATAGTTTTTTCCTCTTGGCGGCAGTTGCCCTTTCAGCCTTCCAAACGTGTTGGAGAAAGATTAAGTTCTATGGTTCTGCGTTGTGAAGTCGGGGTCATTCTATAGTGTTTTCTGGCAAAGCCATGTCTTGCATGTTGGTTTTGGATCCACTTGGCCTGTGCAGATTTTTGAAATAGAAGACATCTGTCTGATTCATGCTCTGTGTTTAGACTAGTTAGAGAAATGTAAGATATTATTGAAGCCAGGCCTTGGTATCCCATTTCTCTTTCCACCGCATATTATATTTTGTGATTAATCTCCTCAGACGTTCACTGGAGGGCCTCCAGTATGTTTCCTTCTAATTTTGTCCATGACTGTGAAACACAAACATTAAAGGAGAGGGTCAGGAAAATCTGTTTTGTAAATAAGCCCTTTTCAACTTCAACGTATTTGTTTTCCTGTGGCCTTTGGTACTCCATCCTGACACTTGAAGGTTGCTGCTTCTGCATGCCCAGAATTGAAGTAAGTCAAGTCCAACAGCTCAGTACACACAAGTGCTTAGTAAGGGCAGACTTCCCGGCATGGCATACTGGCCCCCTCCCTATTTCCAAGTCATAGTCCTCACCTCTGCTGGAAGTGTCTAAGTACTATCTGTGCTGGGCTAGCTCCTCCACTCCCTTCACCTCTCTACATAACCTTTTATGAAGCAGCCAGGGAAATAATATAGAACACGTGTCAAATACCAGGCTGAATGTGCCCACCAGGCCATTTCATGTGCCCCCACCGCTACCACCGCTACTACAGCTGTGACACCCCCCTGGTCTCTGCCCCCACCTTGTCTCAGCAGTTGGCAGCAGAGAGGAGGACAGCACTCCTCCGCTAAACCCTGTGCACTGTCAGCCATAGAAAGACTCGCTGCTGCTTTCTCCCTGTCTTGACAGTCAGCAGCAAAGAGGACAGAACTCCTACAGATCCTCCGCTTCTCCATGCAGCCATGGCACTCCTTTGTCTTCACCTCCACCGGTCTCAGCATTCTGCAGACTTCGACAGCTGACCCCAGCCCTCCTCTGGTTCTCCAGACTCTGCACTTTCTGCTTCCCAGCTCCTCCCACAGCTTTTCCCCAGCAGCAACGCGAGGTAAGGGGAGGTGTACTGTGATGTTAGGGAGGGTGGGGAACTCTTGACTTCTGATGGTGGGGGGCTGTTGACATCTGAAGGGGAAATGGCGTGCCTTGAACATCTAGTCTTACAGATACAACTGGCCCTTTGAGGGCAACCATAATGTTAAGGAGGGTGGGGAACTCTTGACTTCTGATGGTGGGGGGCTGTTGACATCTGAAGGGGAGATGGCGTGCCTTGAACATCTAGTCTTACAGATACAACTGGCCCTTTGAGGGCAACCATAGTGTTAGGGAGGGTGGGGAACTCTTGACTTCTGATGGTGGGGGGCTGTTGACATCTGAAAGGGGAAGATGGCGTGCCTTGAACATCTAGTCTTACAGATACAACTGGCCCTTTGAGGGCAACCATAGTGTTAGGGAGGGGGTGGGGAACTCTTGACTTCTGATGGTGGGGGGCTGTTGACATCTGAAGTTAGGGGAAGATGGCATGCCTTGAACATCTAGTCTTGTAGATACAACTGTCCCTTTGAGGGCAACCATAATGCTGATGCGGCCCACAATGATTTTGAGTTTCATACCCCTTCTATAGAATGTCCCTTAAGTGATAGCTTGAAACCTATTGGGGTTTCTAACATCAGATTCAAGATGGCGGCACCCAGTAGCAGTTTCAGGGTTTTTGGATGTTTACACAAGGGAATCATTTGCAGGTCCATTACATGTGTAAAATATGATAAATGCACATGTAATATTATGGGAAGGTTTTGTTGAAATAAATGGTCTGGTAAACCTCACTGGGGCATCTTGCAGGGAAGCTGAGGATCGCAATCTTGTGAAAATGACCTCCTGCACTTTGCTGAAGCACCTTCTTGTGGGATCTTCAACTTTACCAGAATCCCATGATGAGGCCCAATGATGAGCATTTTAAGGGTATTTTCTAAATGTTTTATATTAATTTTTTATGGCTTTCTGCTGCCAATTCCACATATCAAACAGAACCTTTCACTTCCATTGACCATTGTATCTACGTATATATTCAGTTTTTCTTTCGTAGACTTTGAAAATTTAAAAATATTTTTTAACCTTTCAAAATCTCCTTCAAAAGGAATTTTAAAAAATTCTCACATTTGGTTCAAGTGAAAGATTGTGCACTCATCGTCCGCTGGCATTTGACAACGCATCACACGTCCAAATGAACCTCCAACCACGCCTATCTAATAAAGAGCATTTTTGATGTGTTTAGGCCCAAAAAGTTTACAGTAGTCAAAACCCTCATGCTGGCTTTTGTATCATTTCTAAGGCTTCCTTTACAGGTGAGGACAGATGTTGATGGGAGTATTGTTCAAAAGAGGATCTATTTCTTGATTTTAAGACAATAGAGGAGCCAACAACGTCCATCATCTTGTCTCTTCCCATGTCATCAACCATGCTTCAGAACTTAAGAGGTTTCCATGGCACTACAAATGAATCATGCTGAAAGATGACGAAAATGGGACCACGTTACATCCACTAATAATGGATGTGTATGATTCCCGTTCTGAAAAGCTGTGAATTCACGCTTTTCCGTGTACTCCTAGGCTTCAATGCGTTTTTTCTGTTGTCAAGGAGTCTTGCTCTTGGTTGGCCGTGAAAATCCATTTTTATGCTGATTTGAACGCACTCCTAATATGATCACTGCCGGGAATGCGTCCTGTCAGCCCACCCCCACCCCATCCTCATCTCATCCATTAATGTCCTGTGAAGGATTGGGTTACCTTGCCGGTGGTAATAAATGCTCTTAGGTGATATACCACAATTTCGACAGATGATCATATAATTTTCCCCGAGGGCCTGTTGCTGACTGAGCTGAGTCATTTGTATTTATGACAGTTGCACCGTGATTTAATGTGACCTTACTTTGATAAAAGCTATTTAAGGATCATAAATGTGTGTGCAGCTTGGAGACAGAAGAGAGGGAACCACTGCAGTTCCCTGGGTATGAGAAGCTAAGTAATTAAAAGGACGTTGTCAATGTAGAGGTGTGTAGGCCGCCATTGCTGGCTTGTTATCAGAAGCAAGTATTTTAGAGCCCTCATTTACTACTCAATGGGTCACTGGCTTGAGGCAAGATTGATTTTGGGCATCTTGATGTATAACTAGCTGCATGATCGTTCCAGTTTGGTGATCCACTAAGTAGTGAACTTAGAATTAAGATGTCAGCCCTAAAGGCTACCCCTTAAAGTGAACTCAAACTTCTTAAGAAGCACAACCCCCCGAGATGTAAAATCTTTTGGTGCTTGACCTTTTGTTGGTCTTCAAATCAATCCCTGTAGAGCCCTTTAGCTGTTCATGGGGCTTTGACTTCTACAGAAGTCAAAATTGGGTCCCCAACCCCTGCCATTTAGGTGCCAAAGGCCCCTAGAGTATATGTGAAAGGCAAGGCTTCTCGGATATATATTGGGGAGGGTTAGACACTCTGTAAAGTCCTTATTTCTGTCTGTGTATCCATTGGGAACAGTCCCCTTCGGGATTAGGATCCCAGTTGCTGCAGTTTGTATGCCAAAGGCCCTTAAAGTATATGCAAAGGAAAGTTTTTTTTTTCCTTTGCTATTGGATAGTGGGGGAGAGTTAGGCACTCTGGTATTTTTTTATTTCTGTTTTGGTTTTCATTGGGCAGATTCACTGGTGACTTCTACAGAAGCCACCAGTGCTGGTGACTTTTACAGAAGTCACCAGTGCTGGTGACTTTTACAGAAGTCACCAGTGCTGGTGACTTCTACAGAAGCCACCAGTGCTGGTGACTTTTACAGAAGCCACCAGTGCTGGTGACTTTTACAGAAGTCACCAGTGCTGGTGACTTTTACAGAAGTCACCAGTGCTGGTGACTTCTACAGAAGCCACCAGTGCTGGTGACTTTTACAGAAGTCACCAGTGCTGGTGACTTTTACAGAAGTCACCAGTGCTGGTGACTTCTACAGAAGCCACCAGTGCTGGTGACTTCTACAGTCGAGAGTAGGCCTCCAACCCCCATCGGTTTGCTGCTAAAGGACTTTAAAGTGTGTATGTAAGAGCATGACTTTTTTGGGGGTGTTGGATATAGCGGGGAAGGGTTAGGCAGTCTGTCAAGTCTTTATTGCTGTTTGTTAAAGGAGATTCATCCTGTATTTGTGCTGGTGACTTCTACAGAGGACGAGATTAGGCCCCCCAACCCCTGCCATTCAGCTGCCCAAGGCCCTTAAAGTGTGTGTACATGCAATCTTTTTTTTTCTTTAGTTTCAGATATAGTGGGGAAGGGTTGGGCACTCTGTCAAGTCTTTATTGCCATCTTTGTCCCTATTGGGAAGGTTCACCCTCTGCTTGTGCTGGTGATGGAATATGCCCGCAACCTCTGTCATTGGTCTTCCAAAAGCCCTTAAATATATGTAAAGGCAAAACTCTTTTCTTTAGAGTCGGGTATAGTGGGGAGAGTAAGGCACCCTGTCAAGTCTTTATTACTATGTTCCCATTGGGGTGATTCAGTCTGTATTTGTGCTGGAGAGTTCCACAGAAGTCAAGATTAGGCCCCCAACCCCCGTCATTTAGCTGCCGTTCCATTCACTTTCATTCTCTGTAATAATGGTAAACAGGACAAATAGAGAGGGGAAAGCTCAATAATGGGGATACAGGCAGTAATAAAAACCTGGCAGGTGTTCCGATCCCTTTCCACTATGTCCAAAACCGAAAAAAAAAAAAAAGAAGTTCTGACCAAATTTCGATCCATCTAAGGCCTCTAATGTAAAGGGGGGGGGGAGTTTTTGGATGGGGAGGGGAGTTTTTGATGGGGACCCTGATGTAAGGCAGACTTTACTGTAAAAAGGGGGGGGGGGGGGGGGGGGGGAGTTTCTGATGGGGACCCTGATGTAAGGCGGACTTTACTGTAAAAGGGGGGGTGAAGTTTCTGATGGGGACCCTGATGTAAGGGGGGACTTTAATATAAAGGGGGGGGTCTCTGATGGGGACCCTGATGTAAGGAGGCCTCTAATGTAAAAGGGGGGGGGGAGTTTTTGATGGAGACCCTGATGTAAGGCGGACTTTACTGTAAAAGGGGGGATGGGAGTTTCTGATGGGGACCCTGATGTAAGGCGGACTTTACTGTAAAAGGGGGGGTGAAGTTTCTGATGGGGACCCTGATGTAAGGGGGGCTTTAATGTAAAGGGGGGGGGGTCTCTGATGGGGATAGTTTTTTTTTCTGTCCCTGAATATTTTTAAAATATTCCCGTGTACGAAAAGTTTTGAGACCCCCTGGCCTACATAATGGGGGCATGGTGGGTGTGTCCTTTGCCTATGTACTTTGATCTACAATATTTCTCCCCTTGCTCTCTCAGAATGATGAGTGGAATGTAAATCCTGCGCCCGCCTGGGCTAGGCGTGAATTCTGTGAAGCTTCGCAGATGTTATTGGACGGACGCACCGGATCCATGGCGGTTTTCTGCTTTAATGTATAGCTGGATTACAGATAATTAGACGTAGCAAATTATTAAATGGCGTTAGTTATGTTTCAATTAACGCGCGTGCGGCTTTTCTGTTTGCCGGGGCGCTCTAGTAATTGGGACTCGTGTATTTTCTGGTGCGTTCCCCCCTCTCGTAGATTTAGCGGTAGCTCTAGGTAATCGGTGGGATTGTTTGAGCACGCAGCCGGCGAGTTTGTCTGTGAACAGATGAGCCTGGGCTCGTGTTTCACCAGGAATCCGATCAAAGGTCGCGCTGCTAGTTGGACAGCTGTAGACACGCATTTCGACATATATTCTTCCCTCGCTGTGTCACCAACAGTGTAACTGAGAGCGTGTAGGCAATTAGCTCTCCCTAGTGTTGTGTTACAAGTGCCACCCGAGCACAGAAAACACTTCCACCAGGACAGAGGTCCCCGAGTCCAGGACTAAATCTGCTGGTCGTATTGGTTGGTGGATTCCAGCTGCTTTGTATTCACTGTTTCCTTTTTTTTTTGACATTTGGAAATTTATTAGGTCTCCGTTATCAAACTGCTGCACAAAACTGATATTTCAATTGTTAATAGCGGCTGGAGAGTTCAACCCTTCGACAGTCTCTTCTGTCTCTTGGGGACTGGGTTGGTGAGATGTCTGCACTGGGTTTCTGGGTTTGACTCATTATAAGGGGTTCCCACCATCCCTACATTGGGTTCCAGTGTCTGAACACCTGCTGTGCTCATTAAGGGTTCCCACCATCCCTACATTGGGCTCCAGTGTCTGAAGACCTGCTGTGCTCATTAAGGGTTCCAACCATCCCTACATTGGGTTCCAGTGTCTGAACACCTGCTGTGCTCATTAAGGGTTCCCACCATCCTTACATTGGGTTCCAGTGTCTAAACACCTGCTGTGCTCATTATAAGGGGTTCCCACCATCCCTACATTGGGTTCCAGTGTCTGAAGACCTGCTGTGCTCATTAAGGGTTCTCACCATCCCTACATTGGGTTCCAGTGTCTGAACACCTGCTGTGCTCATTATAAGGGGTTCCCTCCATCCCTACATTGTGTTCCAGTGTCTGAACACCTGCTGTGCTCATTATAAAGGGTTCCCACCATCCCTACATTGGGTTCCAGTGTCTGAACACCTGCTGAGCTCATTATAAGGGGTTGTCACCATCCCTACATTGTGTTCCAGTGTCTGAACACCTGCTGTGCTCATTATAAGGGGTTCCCACCATCCCTACATTGGGTTCCAGTATCTGAACACCTGCTGTGCTCATTATAAAGGGTTCCCTCCATCCCTACATTGGTCTCCAGTGTCTGAACACCTGCTGTGCTCATTATAAGGGGTTCCCACCATCAATACATTGGGTTCCAGTGTCTGAACACCTGCATATGCTCATTTTGAAGGGTTGTCACCATCTTTTGTGTTGAGGTTTCAGGGTCTTTACCCTCGCTCTGTCCCCCTAAGAAGGCTATCCACCATCCCTTAACTGAGTTCCTGGGTTTGAACACCTGGGCCTGTTTTGAGGGCTTCCCACCATCCCTGCACTAAATTCCCAGGTCTGTGCATGTACTGTGCCCATTATGAGGGGTTCCCACTATCCCTGTGCTGAGTTCCTGGGTCTGCACAACTACTGTGCTCATTATGAGGAGTTCCCGTCATCTCTGTACCTAAGTTTCCAGGACTCCCACCATATATCCTCTGAATACCTTGGCTTGCACACTGCTCTGCTCATTATGAGGAGATCCCACCATCCCTGCACAGAGTTCCCATAATATAATAACATAAAATGTTGGTTGCGATACATATTACATATTGCTGCACACACCAGAGCGAGCAATAATTCCAGGCCCATTATTCATGGTTAATGCTAAA